CCCCAAAACCCCAAAACCCCAAAACCCCAAAACCCCTGACTATTGTAGAGCATTGAAACTTCCGGACAAAGCTCTACCTCATAATAAAGTTTATTCTGAATTTTTTAGGGCTATTAAAGTTGCATTATTTTATCTTCTTCTCTTCTTTTTATATTTTCTGACAGTTCCTCTTGGATCTATAGCACAATAAGACTCTTTCCTCAAGGAAATTGGCTTACTACTATCTTCTTTACTCTCGTCGCCACTCTATATAAATTTGTAAGAGTGTCTTTACCCAAAAATTTCAGTAGAAATTCCAAATGCAAACAAAAATTAAATGAATAAACTTACGTCTCTGATGCCAATATCCTGCCTCGATAAGTCCTCTATATAGCTTACACTCTCAGAAAACTCTGAGGAGTTCGAATCAGAGCTTGGTCTCTGATTAGTTTCAGTAACTTCAGAAGCATTGCTAGTTTGATCCTCATAAGTTCTTTCATTTGGGTCAATCTTCCTTTCTTCGAGTCCTGAATCCTAATAAAAAGAAGGTTAGCGACAGGAGTGGAGATAATATGTTCTACTTGTAATGAGCATAAACTGATAGATGTAAACCTTCTTTAGTTTTTGAATCATTGAATCTACTTGGATATTCCGGCAATCCTTATTTAAAACAAAACTGTTAACAAATTCCGCAAAATTAATATTTTCGTAAACCAAGGTTTTAAACAATATTTTACCTTCTTTCTATAAACTGGGACTATGAGCATCGAATCATCATGGAAAGACTCTGAGACTTTGGACATACCCTTGGCGGAGTTTTTTGAAGAGTTCATCTATAAAAGGAGCTGAGCAAATTAACAATTTAGGAACTTCTTAAACAAATTAAGTTGGACACACAATATCTTCTCAATATGAAAACTATTGCCTCTAGCGAAACGAAGAAATGGAAAGATCTCTAAAAAGGAATGCAAAGACCTTTAAATACCAATTGGAAGAGAGGAAATAACTAATGTAATTGCCTTTAGTTGCTATAGAATCTTTCTGAAGTTAGATAACACTTCAGTTAAGTTATCTCTATGCAGAAGGCTTTTACACTTTCAAAAATAGGTAAATTCATGAATATTAAAGCCCAATGACCTTATCTAGCATGTAAAGTGTGACATAGTACCTTGGATGCAAGACTATCTCTGTGTTCATGGTATCCATTATCAAAATCAAACTCTTTATACTCTTCATAAATGTTTCCTTCTCTTTCTTCTATCAATGATCTAATCACTTCTCGGGCGTTACTTAGCTCTCTTCTGGCAGCTTCTTTATCTGGAGACTCATCTTGGTTACTCTGTGAGATAGAGTGTCTTCTTTGGCTATAACCTGGCACAGGCTTTCCTTTAAAAGATTTTTCAGTGTATTTCTTTTGTCCTCTAAACAAGTTTAGGTATTTGGATGTAGGATTTTTTGGTGAAGAACAAAAGAATTTTAAACAAAATTTTGTATTGAAACAAATTTAGTAGAATAGGAAGCTAGGCTTACTCATTAGGCCTTGGACCATTAGTAGGCTCGATTTCTTGAGTATCTCTATTGCCATCAATATCTGGATTAAACCTCATTCCGTGTTCCTTCATGTCTCTGAAGATTAAACAGATTAGATATTTCTTGAAGAAAGTAATTTAGGAAGTTTATCAGTCTTGGGTTTATGATTGTAGAAAATAATTTTGATAAAACATTACAATAAATTAAGGAAAGACTCTATAGCGAAACTATTTTCTAAAACTTCAAGAACTGGTATTTTACATTGAGTCTCTAAAGAAAGCAATGAAAGAATGGTATATCTCTCTCAAAATCTAAAACTTACAGCCTGATTCTCTTCCTCATCTTTACGTTCTTGCACCAGAACCTGATTTCATAACAAACTGAGAATATTATTTTTAATGCCACAATTCCTCCCAAAGCCAAGATCACTAGGAATAAATATTCAGTCTGGTCTTCTCTCGAGAAGAACACAACGCACCATCCAGTAGTAATATTTGCAAGCAACCAAACAACCAGCCAATTTCACCTGAAGTTCTCATAGTCAATCCTCTGGGCTTTGTCTCTTTTGCTCTCAATCTTAGACCCATCTCCAGAGCCTCTCGATCCCCAGGTCACATCGTGGATGTTCGAGATTGCATAAATGGTCATAATGTTGATGTATGTGGGAGTCATAAAGAAAATGTAGAATGTCCCTTTCATAAAATTTAAGAACTTCAGTCTTCTAAAATTAAAAATCATCGGCAAAATATAAGTGCATATCACTCCTCCAACAGCGATGTACACCTTGTAGTTGAGTTCGAGATTGATCACCGAGATAAACACTGCAATGCTCATCAAAACTGAGAAAATTCCCATGAAGACAGCAACTGCTTTGAAGAATTGGTCTCACCATTCTAGTCGAACTCAAGTACTCAAGATCAAAGTCAAGAACACAAAAATCAGATACACATTTTCTAAGATATTAGCTGTTTTGGTAAAGTCAGGACATTTTGCATCGGAAAACACTGATCTCAAGAATATGGAGTAGGCTGCATAGTACAGACCAACAATGAGCAATCCAGCTAAAGTGTTAATGGCCATGTACAAGAAGAACAGCCAATAAAATAGAGCTCTTAATTTCCCTCTCCTTCTACAGATTCTAAGTGGATGGCACAGCACATATAAAGTAGCAAAAAGACTTCCATTGAACCATCTCCGTCTTTGTTTAATCAACACTTTCAAGTCGCTAGGAGCGTCAGTATAAGCCTTACAGCCAGGAACATATCTAATAATGAACGGCTTGTCTTCTTTAGAGATTATTTCTAAGGGCATGATCCTATCTTCTGCTAGAAATTTATTGCCTTCAGGGCAAGAAGGATATGGCCTTGATGGGTCTGAAATGACTGTCCCCTTCAAGAATTCGTTCAAAGGAACTCCTTCGATGCATTGCCATCTGAACATTGAATACGCTCCAGGTAAGACTGAGATGTAACCGAACAACGATTCAGCAGATTTATCAAGGTAGTGGGAAAGCTTGTATTCGACGTACTGGGATCTTAGAAGAATGCTCTCGAAGAAAGTAACTTCTCTGCCATCATCGTGCTTTTCATTGAGCATCACTTCGATTTCTCCACATCAAGCTCCAGTATTGTAGTTCAGTTCCATAAAAATAGACATTCTGGACAAACTGTTCCAGAGGGGAATGGTTCCAGCGTCAATAATGGTGGCCAAAGTTGGCTGAACTGTGTTACAGAAGCCTTTGAAGAACCAAAGATGACTCTCAATCTTGCCTCTGTTGAAGTGCTTTACAACAAGATGTACATCGATAGGCATAGAGAAGAATCTCCTTGTCTTAATATTGGTCTCCTCATCATCACCATACAAGAAGTCTAAAATAGCAAGGTTGTCGATCTTGAAACCTTGTTGCTCTTGGACACTAAGACCATCCAAGAAATTTTCAAACTTCATTGACTTGGAGTATCAATGAGCGATATTCTTAGTTTCCAAAGTTATATCAGCAATACTCTCACTGTTATTCTCAAGTTTTGATAGAGAAGGTACTTTAGAGTATTCAAAATTGTCGTGTTTCTTATTTCCTTCTCTCTCTTGATTTATTTTCCAATAATTATTAGAAATGTCATTGTCATACATTCCAGCCTTCTCATATCTTTCCCAGTTATCCATTCCTTCTTGCCCTTTGGTAAAAATAGGGTAGCCATCACAAATAATGCACACAGAAATCTTGTCTTTATACTTGTTCTTGTTAATCTCCAATAACTCAAAGTAAGCCCTGTAAATTCCTGCAAGGGACTGCAATATCTGGATGTAAGGCTCATTATACATAGTAATACAGAACATGTGATGCATGCCTCTTTGAGATTGGTTAGCAATAATCCCTCCGGATCTCTCAACATGAGCCAACTCCGAGTACTTCATCATTGAGGCTTGAGGATTTCCTACATATGTCATGAGTCTGCTTTTGCTTTCTTCGCCTTTTACTTTTCCTCCTTTTTCTTCAATTCATACAAGAGAGGTGTATTCCACATGCTGTCCATAATACTCAGGTTTTTCATTCAGCCCTATTTGCTCTACAGATACTCCTGGATCTTCTTCGTCTGCCATAATAAACAAAAAAATTACAATACTTTAAGTAATTAATATTTCCTTATTCAATTAATTAGTGCTTTTATGGGGTTTTGGGGTTTTGGGGTTTTGGGG